TTATTGACAAAATACATGGGAAATGAAATCCCAGCGTGCGTTCGGTAGCTTCAATCTACAGTTCTGGCGAAAAGGTAACGCGCAGCACCCCCCCCCCCCCCCCCCCCCCTCCCCGGAGAACTTCTCAACTTGCACCCGCCCTCCCCCGGGAAAATGGAAAGCCTACGCCGCTGATTTAGAATACTTTAATAAACCGAACGGAGGAGTTGGGCGTAAGAATTCGAAACGGAAGGAAATGGGAATATCACCCAATGTGGGCAAAATCTCGCCTGAAATCGCAAAAAAAAAAAAAAAAAAATGGTTCCAGACAAGTTGACAAAGCCGTCCATCTGACAACCCAAGCACGGATTGATTCGGACATAATACAGAAAATTAAAAAAATAAGAATGTAAGTGTACGATAATTTGAAACAAAAAAAAAAAAACGAATTTTTTTGCTGGACATTTGGCGAAAAAGTTAGCGAGAAATCCGGCCGCCGTGATTGGCCAACGCTGTTTACTTGACGTTGAAGCCGGCCAATCATAGCGGGCGGATTTCTACCCTACTTTTTCGCCAAGTGCTCAGATTAGGACCCCGGGACGCAACCCATTCACTGTGCACATAAAGATTTTATTATTAAAAAGAGTCAATCCGCCTTTTACTGCTAGCTCAGAAAATAATCGGCATATATGTGCTCCAGGCACTGTGGCGCCAGCCCCCCTCGTTAATAAATAAATAAATTATGAGGATAGAGCTTTTTTTAACTGAATGTTAGATTTTAATTTAGCCATCATCTAATTTACCCCCCCCCCCCCCCCCCTTTCCTGGTACTCGAGATACGACCGTTTAGTGTAGCACAACACAAATGAACACACTTCGCAAGAACCAACAAGCAATTAAGATCTATCTTTCTAATTGTGTGTTTTAATGAAACTCAAAAGCGTAATGTTTACGGAAGAGAAGCAAATGGGACCTGAAAGTGATTTGAGCGGTGACTGAAATAAATATTATTTCACAAATTTTTATTTGAGTTTGATTAAAAAGATTAGAAGTGATCTTCGGATATTTTTATTTAGAAAATTTCGACCTGAGGAGCTTGTGATTAAATATAAAGACGAATAGCATCTGCTGCCAAAAATTGTTGGTGAAAACTTCAAGATAATGTTCTTTTGAAAATTGCTCACCTTGTTTCATCCGCTTGGACACCATTCGGTTAATGTTTTAGACTTATGTTATTATTAAAGGCCCTCGTTGAGGGCATTACATACATAGTTTGAATTGTGATGCAACAATGAAGAATAATACTAAAAATGCGCTCCGCTTTTCTCGTAAACAAGTACCATGCAACTTGCAAGTACATTATTCCGCAGAAAAGAACGCAGATGTGTAGAAACCACCAACGCTACGTAGTTTATCAAACACCTGCTGTAGATTGACGTCGTTCATGGTTTGCATACAAACTGGAAGAGATACGAGGGGCAGGACATGTACCACGAAACTCAGTTGCGCCAAAAGCTATAAAGTAATGCCTCTTATCATTTCCATCCGGTTTCACATTTTAAAAGTACACCTACCTAAAACCGCGAGGGGAAAAAACAACAGCGCGTGCACGAGAAAGATGCAGATGCAAATCTGGCAACACTTACATCACGCTACTTTCTCGCGATCTTGCGAACGTTCGGGCAGAGATCCGGTGAAGACGCGACACAGATTAGCACCGCGGTCCCTGGTAATGCACGCCGGGAACACAGTGCGCAGAGATCCGTGTACCCGCGCGGCGTGGACATGCATGCTAATTGGATCTCGTCCGACGGGAGGAAACTGAACCAGCAGAATTACGCGGTGGTAGCGCGGCGCGCATCGCGTCTCTGCTCTGGATCTCCGATTGACCTTGACGGCTTGCCAGGCCATCTGGGCATGGAGCGTCGACGGACGACGACGTCGTCGATTAACAAATTGGGCCCGTCCCTCCCCTGATTGGCTTCCCAGCAGCGCATCCGAGTGGAGAGGACTCCGGAGAGAGGTCGACTTTCTGGGGCGGCGTTCCACAGACGGACTGCGCGCAACGGCATATTCGACATCGTTTCCCAGCGCGAGAGGATGAAATACTTCTTCGAGAATTTTGACGCCGGTCTTCCTTGAACAGAGCGCTGAACGCACGAAAGGAATGTGTACTTTATAAAAATCCTTTTACCAACTAACTTTCCCCCCAATTTTTCTTCCATTATTTTTCTTTCGGTCATTTTTAAGCGTTTTATTATCGCTATCAGCCATTTATATTGCAGCATTAGACTATCACAGGAGTTTCAAACATGCGACCCGCGACTCGCTGGGACGTGGCCCGCAAGAAACCCGCGTTGGCGAGCCCTCCATTGTCTGATGTTTTCAAATCATTTTTTGGTCGAAACGCAGCTTTCCTCTTGGAAAGTGTTCACGTGTTTAGAATTTCACTTTGTCTTCTTTTGCATTGTGCTTTGCCATTTTCGCATTACGGATCTTCCTCATCTTGTACAGTTCC